ACAGAATATGCAGAATACATAGTACAGTGTAGAGTACTGCGAAAAAGTCTGAGACCACCCTTCACTTATTTTATTAAAAAAAAAAAAAAGTTATTCATTTTCAGCAAAAAAAATATTTACCAGAAAATTATACAGAAGCCTCAACAACTAAATATAATATCAATCTTTTAAGTGTATAATGTATCTTTATAACAGCTTTCATTTTTGCTTTCAGTAACTTAACTTGCTTTCAGTTTTTCAAAGAAATCCCCAAGGTTCAGTCTTAGAAGTTACAATTTCTGCTGCTCACAATCCAAGCAATTCAGTTCACTCATTCATTCATTCATTCATCTCACTCATTGATCTTGGATTCTGAGATAGTCAGTCCATTGTTCTGAGAACACCAGCAGCTTCTTTATTTGGTTTGCAAATTTTCTTTTTTGTCTATTTTGTTTTCTCAGTAATGACAGCTTTTTCTTGACAGCTACAAATCCTCTGACACATAAGGCTGAGTTGTCTTCTCACGGTGGAACGAAGAACAGAAAGATGTGTGAATTATATCTTTTAATATTTTTAACTGCAGTTTTGGAAACTCCTGTTTTTTCACTTATTTTCCTTTCACTTTCTCATGCAAATGGATTATCTTATATCTAATATTCTCAAAGACATCCCCTGAAAAATGATGGTCTCAGACTTTTGCACAGTACTGTACATACGTTGTATGCAAGACTTATTACTGAAGTACTTGTACTCTGATTTAAAGCTGCACCTTTAAAGATTTTTTTTCTTTTTTGTTAAAAGTGAGTCAGGAGGGAAAACACACTAAAATATGGTGTCCATGCGCTGCTGCAAGCCACCCTGTAAAGCCCTGAAATAATAATTTCAATGTTAGAAGTGTTTGAAGATTTTACGGAATATTACGAACCATGTCATATGTCACATGCACAGGCTCATAATGAAGGTCTGGTTGGAACTTTAGGTCTCAAATAAAAACTATATATGTTTACAATGGTAAATAAATCACTTAAATCCTTGTAAGACAGGTTTTGACTGAGTTCTCTTTGAATACTCTTTGAATGCTCTTGACATCATTAGATTCATCCACTTGCGGAAGGTGTCCAAAGCACAAATATCAGTACAAAATGTTCTTCCACACGCTGTATACAATTAGACATTTCCACCAGAGAGGTCTCCAAATCCCCACAACTTACATAGTACAGCTTTAAATGAGTATGAAGTTATCATCAGCACTGCTGCTGTTCACTGCTTAGATAATAACTAAGTAAATACATGTTGTTCTGGTGCATACTGTAGCAGGAGGGAAACCACCATAACTTTAACTGAAAAACGACAAAAAATGTAAATAGTTACTGAAATTATTAATAATGTTATTTCAAATTCCGTCACTGTATTTTATAGCATTCTGTCCATGCTCACAACTAAAATGTCAATATCTCATCCTTGCTGAAAACTTCAAGCTGGTGACTTGCATAAGAAAACAGCCAGGACACTTTAAGGCAGATCTTGAGGGCTGAACAACCTATCAACTGTATGTCTGTAATACATATAAAATGGTAAAACATGGTGGACTATTTTGAATCATTCATGTCTTCCTGAACACAGCAAGCACACACATGGCACCCACACACACGCACACATGTGCACATGCGCACACACACACACACACACACACACTAGGGCTTTCTCTCAGAATTCATGTGCCTAGCTAGGCATGTGGAAATTGCCAAACGTAGCATGAACCTTTTCTCACACCAGGCACTAAAAGCACCATTACACAGATTGCTCCAGGTGCACAGAGAGCTTGAGGTCAGGGGTGTGTGATGATTTGACAGCAGTTATGATGCTCCATAAAGTAGAATCATACAGGGGTGAATCTGAAAGCTTTGCCAGTTACCTTAATGATCACTAGAAACTTGACACAACTATTGCATGTACATGATTTTTTTTTCTTTTGCTGTGAAAAACAACCTCACTACTCTGAGTTTTACAACATTCTCACAACAGACGACATCTTTTAGACCTTCCACGCTGTGTATATGTTACTGCAGAACAAACAGCAGCTCACAGAGGGGTGGGGAGGGTGATGAGACAATCAACATGAAGCAATAAAAAGGTTCATTAAGTGAAGATAATCAAGTACGTGTGTTAATGCATTTTACTGAGTGATCTGTCTTCCTGCGTCTTCACAGAGTACAGTAAGCTTATTTATAGACAGGTTGTTAATGATTCCATACACAGCCTCTCTACTGGAGGTTAAGCAGATGGCATCTCCAGCAGAGCAAAACTCATTAGTGAAAACACAGGAAATGGTGAAGCAGTGGTCACTCTCAGCTTACACACCGTCACCCTTACCATGTAGCAGGACCTGTACATACACAAAAAACAGCTTGTTTGGTAAAAGAAGACCAAGGCAATACAGTGAACTGTCCGAGGCACCTTTGAAGATTGTGGAGAAAAGAGAAAAACACATTCCAACACAAAAAAATTGACAACACAGGCAGGCGGCAAAAATATTACATCATGATACTTGACATCATGACATTTTCACGTTACACAATGTTTTACAACATTTACTTTTTCTGACATTTGCAAACAAATTGTAATGAACAAAATGCACCAACAGTGCCACGTGCAAAAAGGGCAAATTAAAAGCTATGAACAATGACTTATTTTGTATGCAGTGTTCGCAAAAATGATTAAATTATTAAGTTATTCAAACTATTTAAGAAAAAATACTGATAATACATTCAAAGTTAAGAAAATATGATGGCATAATTGGATGACATCCAAATAGCTACATTACTATGAACTTTATGGAGCTGCTAGTCTTTTGTAGTGCTTCCCATACATAGTCGTATGCAAAAGTTTGAACATCCAAGGTTAAATTATAACCCCATTTCCAAAAAAGTTGGGATGCTGTGAAAAACGCAAATAAAAAGAAAATGCAATGACGTGCAAATCATTTAAACCCTATATTTAATTGAAAATGCTTCAAAGACAACAAATCAAATGTTGAAACTGAGAAATTTTATTGTTTTTTGAAAAATATAAGCCCATTTCAATTTGATGCCAGCAAGACGTTCCAAAAAAGTTGGGATGGGGGCAACAAAAGGCTGTGTGATGCTAAAACAAAACAAAAAAAAAAAAACAAATAAACAAACACCTGGTGGTAAATTGGCAACAGGTCAGTAACATGACTGGGTACAAAATGAGCATCCAAGAGAGGCTGAGTCTGTCAGAAGTAAAGATGAGGAGTTCACCACTCTGTGAAAGACTGCATGATCAAATAGTGCAACAACTCAAGAATAACATTTCTGAACATAAAATAGCAAAGAACATTTGCTTTTCATCATCTACAGTACATAATATCATCAAAAGATTCAGAGAATCTGGAGAAATCTCTGTATGCAAGGGACAAGGCCAAAAACCAGTATTGGCTGGCCATGATCTTTGGGCCCTCAGGTGCACTGCATTAAAAACAGACATGATTCTCTAGTGGAAATCACTGCATGGACTCAGAAACACTTCTGAAAAACACTGTCTATGAAAACAGTTCGGCGCTGCATCCACAAATGCTTATTAAAACTCAAACACAAAGTAGAAAGCATATATAAACAGGATCCTGGAACGCTGCCACCTTCTCTGGACCCGAGCTCATTTAAAATGGACTGAGGGGAAGTGGAGGAGTGTGTCCTGTGGTCTGACAAATTAACATTTGAATTTCTTTTTGTAAATTATGGACACTGTGTCCTCCAGGCTAAAAACCACTCAACTTGTCATCAGTGCACAGTTCAAAAGTCAGTATTCATGATGGTACAGGGGTGCATTAGTGCACATGGCATGGGTGACTGGCACATCTTTTAGGCACCATTACTGATGAACGTCATATACATATTTTGGCAACATATGCTGCCATCCAGATGACGTCTTTTTCAGGTAAGGGCTTGATTTCTTCAGCAAGACAATGCAAAACCAAATTTTTCATGTATTACAACAGCATTACTCCGTATTAAACAAGTCCGAGTGCTAATCTGGCCTGCCTGCAGTTCAGACCTGCCACCCACTGATAACATTTGGCGCATTATGAAATGAAAAATATGACAAAGGAGACCCAGAACTGATTAGCAGCTGAAATCCTATATCAAACAAGAATGGAAAAACATTTCACTTTCAAAACTACAGCAATTGCTCTCCTCAGTTCCCAAACACTTACAGAGTGTTGTTAAAGAGGTGATGAAACACAGTGGTAAACATGCCCCCATCTGGGTTTAAATGATTTGTACATCATTTAATTTTGTTTTTATTTACATTTTGCACAACATCCCAACTTTTTTGGAAATGGGGTTGTACATGTTTTGTTGATTTACAAAGTGAAAATAAGGTAACACATCCCCAACAAACTTAACTATTGTATTTATCTGCTGATTTTAGTCTGCAATTTACATTTTTTGCTGAATTTAACATATTGAAAAAAAAACCAAAAAAAACATAAAATACATAATGTGCCATAACTTTTGCACAGGCCATATTTTAGGTGTAATTTTTTTCCCCAATATGTTAAATTCAGCAAATAAACATTTTGTATTAAAATGTGCAGAAATGTGTTCTCTGTAGAGGACGTGTACTTTCTTTAATTTATAAAATTGACAAAACATTTAAAATTTTGCACACAACTGTAGGCCATATTTGGACGCTTTCCATCCAAATCTCATTTTATCCCATTTTAACAAATTCCACCCAACCCTCTCACAGTTGTTTAGTGTTCTAGAAGTACTGATAGTAGCCACGATATATGCAGAACAGTGTATGATGATATGAATTATCATCATAACAAAATGATAATACCTAACAAGAACTAATTTGACAATAACTTTAATTCCATTCACTTATGCTAATCTAATCAAAGAATAATACATAAGATGAAGTGTTTCAGGGCTTAAAAGCATTAGACTGAATTGGGAAGCAAGTCTAGTCAGGGTAGAGATGTTACAGTTACTCACAGAATAGCAAATGGCAGTGGGGTACCTCCATCTCTCAGCAGGGGAAGGCTGGTTGCTCCATGCACGGTGACGCTGATGATTTCGTCTCCAGGGTGGGACACATGAGCGTAAGTGGGTGAGAAAGAGAGGGAGGCACTTGCCCTCCTCAGCAGAGACTCTGACACCTGGCTCAAAAACACAAGCACATAAATGTAGATGAATAGGGAGGACTCTAAAGTTCTGTTCCACAGTGCAATTATGTAGAATGTGCATGTGTGTATATCATATAATCATAATCTTGCCCAAAAAAGGACAAGAGCCCATTGCAGCAGGAAGCTGCAGTAACATGCCATAGCAGTGATGGCAAATGATCTGTCTTGAAATACTTTTAAGAACCAGGGATAAGCCAATTAAATGCCTCAAAGCATTCATTCATAAAATTAGCACATAAATATGCACTAAACCTCAACTCAGCTTTTAATGAATGGATTAAATATTCTTGGAACACACCTAAGAACGTGTCTGAGCATTCAGTGACATCAGGAGCAAACTATTTCTGCATAGAGATTTGGAAAAAGATTTGATTTAAACGCATTAGGCCTTTGGTATTCTAAATCAGCAAATTACACATAATGGGCACTTTGATTCAGGGAACAATATCAAGACCTTGGTTAAAGTAGAAACCAATGCTTCCAGTCACCGTGGTTCCTAAGCAACAGGTAATCTTACAATGCATGTACAGCTGTAGCAGAAAAGGCTTTTCACAGCAGGCGCTGAAAGCTTCAGAAAGTCAATCCGGTGGTACATCACATGGCAACCTTGAGACGCTCTATACCGTTCAAAGCACAGGGGTGACAGCCATTTCTATTCAGCTGAAATAAAAGGTGAAAAATAATCACTGGAGAACAACGAGGCTGCATCCATCTATGACACAAGGTCCTCTCCCGTGTGCTGGATAATCAGCATTCTCCCACATGCTGTCGCGTTTCTCAGCACAAAGCTGTGGTCTGTTCGAATAAGGATTTTCTCAGAGCTTCGATTTGTTATCGTCTTATAAAATAAGCTTCTTATTCTCAAGAGGGGGAAAAGAAAACATGAATACACAACAAATTCATCAGGCTGGGGCAGGCAGCTGTGACGTAGGTCTAAGTGGGCTAAAGAATTCTTTTCAGCTTACTCAACATGAACTTTAAAAGTGCAACAACTTTCAGACATATACTCTGCTTTTTTTCCTTTCTCTTAATGGCTGAACTCAATGAACTCGAGTTGTTTGACTTAAGGTCACTACCACACTTCCAGTTCACTAGTCAAGAGGTCATGAGAAAGATGGCTGTGAGCTGAAGTTTGAACATAAACATTGCAGCTGAATTATTGGGAACTGTTTGTTGATAGCGAATTTAGGAACTGTTATTCAAAATTATGGTAACAGGGATGATGGCCCTGAATAAACAGACAGCACAATTAGTCAGATATAGGCCTGTGCCAGTAACAGGGTCCTCCTATTTGGGTAACTGTGTGGGATGTAAAAAGAACATAAAAGCATGTTTAAGTAAAAAGCTTTGATTGGCCAAAAACCTGTAATTATTATCCGGAAGACAAAACAAAATTGCAAAAGTCACATGAAGTTTACCATCTGAGAGTTTGCAATTGCTTAGCCTGATGCCTTCTTCTCCACAGCAATTTCGCATTAGGCTGTTTGAAAAAGCCTGTTTCCTCTGATGTACAAGAGCTGAGACATGATTTTTTTTTAAACCTGATTTTACTGTTTTTCCCCAGACATTAAGTCATTTTTCTCTAATGTGTGAAACCTGATGTTGTGGTCTGTGGATGTTCTAAAATGTACACCTTGAGATAAGCAGCTTTTTGTACAGGCATAATCACCGAGCACATTTAACCAGCAGACACATTTCTAGAAACAAGTTAGGTACAACAAATCTGATATTACAGTAGGCCATCACTTCATCCAGCATGTTTAAACGTTTAGATGTAGGAATTCTGCTGTCTTGCTGTGGTTTGCACGTAAATCAATAAACAAACATTTTTACCATCACATAATAATCAGAATAATAATCACAAAGACAAAAATAAATGCATTCCGTTCAGTATAGTTGCAGCAGGACTATCGGGAATTACAATTAATAAACTCATCAAATCAGTATCAAACTATGTGACATTAAGGATGAAAAAAAAATTACAATGTTTAAAGATTTAAAGATATTTTCCCAGTGGATGATGTATCACAATATCCTGTTTTGCTGAACCCAAAGCTGGAATGAATAGGATGGGTCAGGAATATATCATCATACTGCCCAGCCCTGCATCCTATCCTGATAAGAATTACATGCTATTGTCTGACAAATAAGAAGTATTTTAATGACTGTGGTTATGAATAGTTATGTACCCATTTCTGTCAAGTGTAATCAACAATTACAACATTGTCAAATAACAGTTACGATTTGTCACAGCACAAAAATCAACAAAACATAATATAAACAGAACTGTCAATAGGTACTCATGCAGGAAAACAATTTGTAGCAAGCTCTTTCCAGAAAGGGCTTTAGAGACAACACTTAAAAAGCAATTCCATCACTGAAGGCTGAAGATTCTGAAGACATGGCTGACCATGATGGTTTAGAAATAGATTTGGACAAACAAATAAATATCTCCTGAGAGAAGAAAAAAAAGTTTTCACCAACATTTAGATTTAATAGTACACAATGTATGGCCATCAAATTAGCTTTTAAATGCACTTATAACATATAACAAAAGGTCATTCTTTTGTTATATTATCATATCTATATATGTGTTTGATATGGAAGACAGGTCCATATTTTCATGCTAAAACTGACTACAGCCTTCCACATGCTCAGCCTCCAGAGACTCCAGACTTGTCAATAATTCAGAAGTGGAGGGAGAAATGTTATAAGGCGAGACAGCACAGAGTGGGCTGGGAGGTGGAGGAGGGGTGTTTGTGGAGAAAGTAGGGAACTGGAAAAGGAGGAAGAAGTAATTAAAGAGTGCGTAAAAAGAGCAGAGAGGCACAGATGGACAATGGATTGCATAAGTGTGGCAAGACAAAGAGATGCAAGAGGCCCACAGCGATACGCAACAGGGTGACAATACACTGTAAACATAACACCAGCTGTCGATCAATCATTCTAGTGTTGAAATATTGAGGGAGAGCAGTGGGCTATTAGTAGAATTACAGCTTACTAGAAATCGACCTCTATTCTATGTATGGATTATTAACATTCAAAATATATATTTATGTAAAATGATACAAATGACATTTTTTCAATGTTTTCAACAGAGAAAAACAGGATGTTTATTTTGAGGAAAACCTTGAGCCGCTGCATGAAAAATGCTTTTCGACAAGGATTGCCTTGCCAGACAAGTATCACTTTCTCAGAAAGTGATAAATAAATATATAAAAAAAAAATCTGTTGCCCACTCCAACAATATCCTGTTCCTTTTAATATTGTACAGCTTATCCATATTTCAGGTGTAGCTACTGACAGTTTGAGCAGTAGGAGTGCACAGATGTATATATTTCTCACGGATATGACATACTTATTAGCCTTTTTTGTTTGCACAAAGCAAGTTTCAGTGAATGGAGGAAATGCAGGGCAAATAAACTTTCAACAGTTTCATTACTGTATGCATTATTTTTAATCCTTGATAAGATCTCAAACCCTGTCGTCCCTGATGTTTCACTCCATCATAATGAGTGCTACTTGGCTGATTGAACAGGTAATGGGTATTTGATCACAGTGAGTTTTGGGAAATTAATCAACATTACAGCAGTTTTTTTTAGACATATCATACGTGGTTAAAATGCATAAAAAAAAACAAAGCTGCAAAAACAGCTCATTTTGAAATTATTATTTTTGTGATGTCATGAAAAACCAAATCATTTACACATATCCACCTATTCAGCCTACAGCACTTTAGCTCCACCCATTCACTCCTTATCATTTCTGTGTGTTTACAGGGCATCCAATAGCATGATTAACTCCAACGGTTAAGACACAGGTAAACAGGTAAGAAAATGGTCATATAAAAATGAATCAAGTTTTTGGTACAAAAACCACACAGATGTTATGCGTGGACAGCAGGGGGGAAATGTAGGATATGGGTTTCATCTTTTTATCTGATCTCATATCTGTCATCTGACAGAAGCAACATGTGCGTTCTGTGCCAGCAACACCACTGTAAAAACACTGACGCTCTTGTTCATATCTTAACTGACATGATTCATATGACATAACCAGCATTTGGAAAACAGAAAACAGAATTTATATACTCAACAGGTTTTGTGCACACGATGGGTGTAAAAAAGGTAGATCTCTACATCAATTGTAGCACACATCTCTTTACTTCACAGATCACTAAAACACTCTTTGATAATGACAAATCGAAGTCAGTGGGAACTGTGATATGAAAACAAACATGAAAATGCAAATTAGCCAAAGGAAGAGGAAAAAAAATCTCATATGAGACACACTCGGCTGCAGATAAAAGCAGAACAAAGCACGATCATGCTGAACACACTCGGCAGCCGAGAGCTTTTGAAAACTTGCACAAACAGCCGAGGGCTGGGGGGGCGGCAGTATGAGAGTGACTAAATAAAAGGGAGGCAGAGTGAGCGTAGCGCTTCACGTCTCCAGAGGAAAAAAATCTCCCAGCAGGATTTAAAAACCTCGCCTTTATCAGGTTCCTCTCAGAGCTTCCGCTTTGAAAACTAATAGTGCTCGTTTATAAATCTCTCTGTGCCGACTGTCAAATTTCAAATGCTACCATAAGCACTGTGAGGATCTCTTTTGGCGAGGCAGGCTGGATTTGTGAAGTAAAAGGCATTTAAAAGGAAGGGAATTTTGATATTATCAGTCTTAGATCTACTTACGCAAGATAAGACCCGTATCACACAGAGCCACTGCTGCATCATGTCAGACTGGTTTCTAAAATTTTATATTTTTAAGTGATTATATTCCAAGGTAACTGGTTACAGAAATTCTTATAAATGGGTAGACATACAGTTGACAAAGTCTGCTGAGTAATATGTGCATCATAGAGGTTTTATCTTTCTAGCTGATCTCATACTTATTCAGAGCTAGTTCTCATCTGACAGAAGCTATTTGTTTCACACTGGCTACATTGCTGTTGACAGAGTAACACTCTTGTTCAT